TTTGACGTCTCTGTTACTAAAGAAAAAAGAGAATGTAGATTGGAACTGCTAGCCAGACTCATGTACTTGGCTTGCAGCACATCGGGGATTCAGACAAATGCCTGTGTAACGCCAAGCCCTTGACACAGAGCTCAGCTTCAACGGTTTGCCTCGGAAAAACTTTTGGGGTATATTCCTCTCAGAATTTAATTCCTAGGTTCTCTCCAGATGTGTATACATATTCCCTTATTAGAAAATAAAATTTACTCAATGTATTTCTTTTTTTTGCTGTACTTATCAGGAAACTTGAGCTAGATTTAGAGACTTACTGCTACTGCTCGTGAAAAAGTTTCTAATGCCTGTTTTAATCCTTCCTCCACTGATCCCGTTTAATACTTTCTTTCTCCTTCCTCCTTGCCCGCCTCCCTCCATCTCTCCCTCCCTTCCTTTTTCTCCCGTCCTCTTCACCTCTCTCTGCCTCTCTCGTATCTTCAGAGTTGTAGTGCCCTGAATTTTCCCCTCCATATTGCCCCTGCCCAACTGGTTTCTACATTTTGGAACAAGCCAAGGGGGGTAGGATGAGGCCAGATAATGAGTCACAAAGTCTCTTCTACTTTTTCATTCTTTTTTAAAACTTTTATTATTAGTTTTTATTAACACAAGTAATACATGTTCATTGTAGAAAAATTAGAAAACACAGAAAAGCAAAAGGAAAAAAAAAATCACCCATAATCCCGCTACCCATAGATAACTGCTATTAACATTTTATAGTGTATGTCCTTCTAGCTTTCTTATGCATATATACACACATAGATATATTTATATATAATTTTCTTTTTTTTTTTTACAAATATTGTGTCATAGTATACATACTGTTTTATAACATGTTTTTCATTTAATATATATTGTGAACATTGTTGTTTATTCCCTGAAAAATTATGCAGATTCTACATGCTCATTGTGGAAAAATTAGAAATTACAGATATGCAAAATGAAGAATAATTGCTCCAAATCTCACCTCCTAGAGAAAAATTCTGTTAACATTTTGGCAAGTATCTTGTCAGACTCTTTAATGCACACATGTATACATATATTTTAAAATGGGATAATACTATAGATAGTCCTCTAATTTTTTTTATTCATTTAACAGTAGAGCTTGTACATTTCAGTAAATATACATATGGGTGACTATTCTTAATTTGTGCACAGTATTCCATTGTTGAAAGGATGTATCATATTTAACCAATCCTGTAATGGTGGCAGATTACATTTTTTCCCACTTTTCCAAATAATGCTGATATAAACATCCTTTCTTGCATATACTTCTTGAATAAATGAATAAATGCATCTTAGTTCACTTTTTTCTGGGCTTCTTTTTTTTTTTTAAGGAGAATTTTCCTAAAGTTGAATTACTGAGTGTTATAGATTAAACTGTGTCCCCCAAAAAATATGTGTTGTAGTCCCAACCTCTATGCCTGTAGTTATAATCCCATTTTGGGAATGGGTTGCCTTTGCTAAGTTAATGAGAGAGGATTAGTGCAGGGTGTATCTTGAGTTAATCTCTTTTGAGATTGAAAGAGATTAAATGTAAGCTGGCAAATTGAGATGGGGGAGTGGGGATGCCAAGCCACATGAAGATTGCCCAGGAGCAGAAGCTCAGAAGGGACAAGGACCTTTCTCCAGAGCAGACAGAGAAAGAAATCCTTTCCTGAGGGCTGGCAGCCTGAATTTGGACTTCTAGCCTCCTAAACTGTGAGAAAATAAATTTCTGTTTGTTAAAGCCACTCACTTGTGGTATTTCTGTTATAGCAGCACTAGATAACTAAGATACTATGCATGCATGTTGTTAAGGCTTTTGAAAAATTTATTGCCAAAATATTTTCCAGAAAGGTCATATCAATTTACACTCTCACTGACTCTATAAGAGAATGTTCATTTTCATACTCCCTTTCCATCCCTGGGGATTTTAATTCTTTATACTCTGCCTCTTTGATATGTAAAAAAGAGTATATCATATTAATTTGCATTTTGATTACTAGTATATTCAAAGGAGTCCTGGTGGCATAGTGGTTAAAGCACTTGGATGCTAACCAAAAGGTTGGTGGTTTGAACCGACTAGCTGCTTCGAGGGAGAAAGATGTGGCAGTCTGCATCTGTAAAGATTTAATGGAAATCTTGGAAAGTCGATGGGGCAGTTCTACTCTGTCCTATAGGGTCACTATGAGTTGGAATCGACTCAAAGGCAGTGGGTTTGATTTGGTAGTGTATTCAAATAGTTTTCATACTTTTTATTAGTGCATTATTTTATGGTACATTGCCAGTTTGTATCCTGGGCTCAATTTTCTACTGGAAAGCTTAATTCTTTTTGAGTCATGTCATTTATTCATGCATTCATTATTCACTCATTCAGTAAATATGTTTTCAGCATTTGCTTTGTATCACTGTGTTAGGTGTTGGAAATACAATGGTAAGCAAAATAGACATGGTTGCTGCCTTCTTGAACTTCCACTTTAGTGGGAAAAAACAATTAAAAAAGAAACAATGAAAAAAGTACAACAAGGAGAGGATAGAATGAAATGGGAACATTTAACGAGGGAGGTGGGTATAGGTCATGGAAACTTCCCAAAGGTAGTGGTGCTTAAGTTCTTAATACATATTAAATGTCTATACTCTTTGTGCATATATTGCAAATATTCTTTTCTCTTAATTTGGTTTGTTGTTTTTTACTGTATAGGAATTTTGCATTTTAAATTGGTCAGATCTATGCATCTTTTCTTTTGTGGTTTCTCTCTTTGGTGTCATGCTTATAAAGGCTTTTTCCGCACTAAAATTACATAAATATTTATCCATATTGCCTGGAGGTTATTTTGCATGTTCATTTATGTGCTTTAGCATTTAAATCTTTATTTTGAATTTATTGTGATAAAAGTTATGAGGTATAGATCTAATATTTCCCCCCTCAAGTGGCTAACCAGTTATCCCAATAAAATTTACTTAATAATCGAATCTTTTCTCACAGATTTGAAATGTCATCTTTATAACGTACTTAATTCTTTTATATTATTTCTTGAGTCTATTTCTGGACTTTATTTTTAATTCTAAATATGTGTTGTGAGGTCAGTAGTATATCACTGTCTCTTCTCATCCTAGGTATAGTTGCCTGAAAGTTGATCATTTGGCATTTGGTGACGTTCTAAAACGCAAAGAAACGACGGACGTTGCTTAGGTGTGAGCGTATGGGTGGAAGTTACATTGGCTAATATCCTTAATCCTTTCAACTGTGGGACTTTCAAAGTCTGAAATTCCAGGCGGGATCATTGTTAATCTGGCCTGTTCATTTGTTGTTAAAAATAAGTCAGATGCTTTTATGCCCTCTGATGTGTTTAGTGGAGCCCTGGTGGTGCAGTGGTTAAGAGCATGGCTGCTAACCAAAAGATCAGCAGTTTGAATCCACCAGCTGCTCTTTGGAAACCCTATGGGCAGTTCTATTCTGTCCTATATAGGATCACTGTGAGTCAGAATCGAATCGATGGCAATGGGTTTGTTTTGGTTTTGGGTGTGTTTAGTATTTCCTCTCTCACTCTATAGTCCATCGTTCAGTAGGTGGCAGTATTGCCATACAGTGAGTATCCCAACTGTTTTTCCAGGAGCACCAAGGACAAAATGGACTGCAGAATTTTAGAATTTCCCCGAGAGCTTTAACTCATTAGATGAGGCATCAGCGCGGTGCTATTCTAGAGCTGTCTTTGTACCCTTGCACAATGACACTGCCAAAAGCTCGCCATGTGTCTGTTCCTATATGCGTGCAGTGGATAGATACTTTTAAAGTGGCATCTTGGCCTTGTGGGCATTTCTTCACGTACTTTATCCAAAAGTGCTTTAGGGCCCAGTCACTGACTGATTTAAAAGCCTGAAAATATTATTTTAAACAATGTTGTTATGGTGGGATTCAGGTGATCTGTTTTCTTGTTGTTGGTGGTACATTTCAGATTTCCCACAAAGAATATGTACTACCTTTTTAATCTGGAAAGAAAAAAATCAATGAGAGGTGGTAAGATATGGTAGTAAAATGAGTGGATATGCGCCACAAAATGTTTACATCTGTTTCTGTTTCAAGCAGGTAGGCTCATGCAACGAAATAGCAATGGTCCTGCAGTCTTAGGGCTCAGTGTTCTCTCCTCACCCCTAGAGACCCCTCAGAGTTCTTGCTCATGTGAAAGCGAATTACCAGCAGGAAGTAAAGACAGTGGGACTCTATCTCGTGGAATCGCATCTGGGAAAATCCTTCGGTAGATGAGAAGAGAGTGCGGTCAGTGCCTAAAGAGATACATTGCCCTGTCTAAAGGGAGATGGTGAATTGCCTATTCCAACAGTGAGCCAGCGTAGGTTATCAGAACTTTGAGTATTAAATTTAATGTTAGGACTACAATTGAAAGAAGATCTATAAATGTCGGAGTGTGTCCACAGGAACTACAAAAACTGATCAAGCCTGGGAAACAGGCACTATGAATAAAAGATAGGTGGCTGAATTTATTTACCTCAAATATGGAAAGCTGACTAGGTAATCAGACAAATTCCCGTCTCCATGAATAGCTGCCAACAGCCTTCCCAGACGTGGCGGTGAGATCTGAATTTATTAACAGTCTTCAGTTGTACAAAGGGCAATTGCATGGAGGGTAAGTGCTACTTTTATATAGAGACTAAGGCAAGAGTGAGCACAAATTAATGAAGCAGAAGTGATTTAGGTGAGGCATTTAGAAGAACATGCTAAACACCAAGGTTGGGTTTATCAGTTAATAATTTTGCATGGATTAGCAGGAGCTAGATTGGAGCTAATGGTTCAATATAGTTAAAGGGTGGGAGAGGGAAGAGATAGGAGCTGAGCGCATGCCCAATTGGGCTACTCTATAATTTGGAAACAGTGGACATTAAGTAAAATAACCTCGGGATGAAAAGAAGAAATGTGCTCATCTATATCAACCGGATTCAGGAAAGGGTATTAAGCTTTAATCAAACTTGATATATGACTTTTCAAGGGTACCTTTTTATGTAAAGTTGAACATACTTATAACCAGGCATTAATGACAGGTTCACTGGAACAGAACTCTGGGTTCTAAAAATAAGGCCAACAACCAGCTGGTATGATCTAAATAGAGATGTGCATAGCTTTTGAGATCTTTTCCAACTCTTTAATTCTTTCCCTTTCAATCAAAACAGCTAGAAGGCAATTCCAAAGGTAGTTTCCACAATATCAGATATTAGGTCAAACCATATGAAATTGCCATTTTTGTAGGTCAAAAACAGTCAAATATTAGCAATTTTATATGATTCAACCTAATACAATAATTATTCCAGTAGTTCATCTCTTCTTCTCTTCATCTTCACTAAAGCTAAAAGCATTAAAATATTTAGGTTTTAGGTCAAAATATTGGTAGGTATATAAATGCTCTGTGCACGTAAGAATTGAGAAAGTACAGGGTTGGGATTTAAGCTGCATCTTGGATAAACTACTTGTAAGCATCTAGCTCATCCTTTTATTATACTACACATTCATGCCTCCTGTCTGACTTTAAGATTTTCCAGACCATGGGAAACAAGAAAAGAAGTACAAAGACCTGATCTCTCAACCCATGGGAAATTCTGTCTGGGAAATGGGCCAAAGAAAGAAAAGGGGAAAATACCACAAAATTTGTACCATGTTACTAGTGGAGGAAGATCGCAGAAAAACAAAGTGTGTGGCTCTTCCTTGTTTCTAAAATACAGTATTGCTTAATGTGTCCTGCTTTCAAGATTCTAAGCATAGGACAAGACACCAAGTACACATTAGAAAAGTCATATCTGCATAGTCATCTAAAATTAGACAAGCTTAGCGTAACTAAAAAAAAAAAAAATTATTAACAATGTAAAATGTTAAATATTTTTATGATCTGAGCTAATTCCAGCATGCCCTATAAGATTTAACACTATGCTGATGTGCAGACACCATGCTTCAGATTTCAGTTAGAACAAAATGTGATAATATTCAATTTTACATTTGAGGGTAATTGTATATGTTACTACACCATTTCCTAACTGGATTACTTCATTCTCCAAGAAGCTGAAAAAGACACCATTGGATCAAAAGGAAATTAGTTGCCATATGCATTGTATGAAGGTATTAGGATTATTATGTATTTACAAAATTTAACTATTTTAATATATGGTTTTGTTGCATTATAAATTAAGATATATTTCTGTTGAAGCTCTTAGATTTAGACATAATGGAAGACTAAACGTGAATGAGTGCAGAGAAAAGCAGTAGGTGAGGTGGTATACATTTTGTTATAATATTGTTTCTAATGATATTGATAGGTTAGAATTTTGAGCACGGTTTTCCAATTTTCAATAGATTCCTATGTTTAAAGACTTCTTTCATATACGATAAATTGTTAACATGAGGTTAGCAAGAGCTGTAGATATACTAATATATATGAAATACTTTCTCTCTGTATAATACATTTAAAAAACCTTTAAATAATTTAAAAATCATAATTCTTGCGTCTGTTATGGTATGGTTTAGAGCAGACAAGCACACTGTCAGCTTTAAAAATCCTTTTAAAAACAGCCTGCTTTTTGAATCTGTTCTTTTTTTTCTTGACTGCAGCTGCTTTCAAATGTAAAATCATTGAAAAGGGCAGGGGGAGGCAGATAAAAGTAACAGGGAAGCATAGAAAACATAGTCAAAAACCAGTAACTATGTGGTTCAGCTGTCTGGAGGTCCTCAGGTTCTGCGATTTTTCTGGTCTTCCCAATGCTGGGTTTCCAGGAGGAACCGCTTAGCTTGAGACGAGACAGCACAGCCCAAAGAACCTTCTCTTCCGTCTTCTAACCAGAGGGTAGGGAGTTAGATTCAGAAGGCTGCTGTCATCTGTGATGGGACAGAATGTACATATGAGTGAGGTATACACAAAACAACTTGCTTTTTATGAAGCGGCTCTAAAAACCCACCATTCTTTGAATTAAGGTTTCTCAACCTCGAAACTGCTTACATTTTTTACTGGATAATTCTTTGTTGTTGGGGGCTGTCCTGAGCACTGTAGAATTTTTAGCAGTATCCCTGGCCTCTAGATGCCAGTAGCACTCTCCACTAGTTGTGACAACCAAAAAAAATGTTTCCAGACATGGGCAAATGTCTGGGGATACGATTAAGTGGAAAAAAAAAAAAAAATCTATGAAAAATATTTAGCTTGGGTGGGTAGCTTGATGCCTAGAAGAGAGGAAGCACTCCGTCAATGTAACTATTAACTATTTTCCTTTATAAAGGACCGATATCTTGGCTTCATTTACCTATTTCATGTTATAGGAAGAAGCTTCAGCTATTTCCTGTTAAGTCTTTCCTGAGCGCTCTCTATAGAATTCTGTACATCAGGGCATTCAGAGAAGACTGTCAACTGTTGAATTAATAAATTTTGGATTGCAAATTTCAGCAAGATGGAAAGTAGAGGAAGAAATAAACCAGTATAACAAATATACCGTATTTTTGCAAATAATGCACCTATGTAAATAACGTGCCCACAAATACAACGTTCATAGCGTGTCCAGGAAAATAATGCACAAGGGGGTTGCACGCTGGGAAAAAAAAGTAAAATGCGTGTGTTATTTGCATAAAAATACAGTAGTCTAATGAGCTGGGTTTCTAAGAAATAATGTAGTCTGACAAAGAGGGTGGGTAGAAATGTCCTGTTGGAGCAGAGCTGGTCAGTGCAAGTTTTGCTGGGCTTAATGTGGGTTCCAAAGACTGGAGAACAATAACAAAGAAATAACTTGGAAACTGCGAATTGGGAGAGAATTAGGACGAGGTCAGACTGAAGCTAAAGACAACAAAATAGCTGGGTTGACATTGGCAATTGTTATGTACCCAAGTTCTGGCCAAGACTGGTTGCACTGCCCTTCCACAGTGAAGCTAAGGGTCTCCTTCCTTTCCTTCATCCTAATGTCGAAGGAGATAGAATATTGGAAAAGGGACTTGGACCGAATCAGGAATTAAATGAGAAGATGGGTACAGCGAAGAATGTTCCCCACCACAATAGCACTTCTTTGTTTGTTGATGATGATTTGCTTTTTTTTTTTTTTTTAATTACTGAGCCTAGAAGTTCAAGAACAAAATGAGTTTTGGATTTCTGGTCATCTTATGTAAACTGTGTCACATGAATGCCTGAACTTTTTCTCCTCTTCCCCAAAGGCTCTAATGTGTCATGCCGTTGGCATTAAGTGCTGTCGAGTTGGTTCCAACTCATAGCAATGCTGTGTACAATGGAATGAAACACTGCCCAGTCCTGTGCCATCCTCATGATTGTTGCTATGTTTGAGCCCATTGTTGTAGCCATTATGTCAATACATCTTGTTGAGGGTCTTCCTCATTTTCTCTGACTCTCTACCAAACATGATGTCCTTCTCCAGGGACTGGTTCCTCCTGATAACATGTACAAAGTACATGAGACAAAGTCTTGTCATCCTTACTTCTAAGGCGCATTCTGGCTGTACTTCTTCCAAGACAGATTTGTTTGTTCTTCTGGCAGTCTGTATTCAACATTCTTCACCAACACCATAATTCAAAGGCATCAGTTCTTCTTTGGTCTCCCTTATTCATTGTCCAGCTTTTGCATGCATACGAGGCAATTGAAAATACCATGGCTTGGGTCAGGTGCACCTTAGTCCTCAGAGTGACATCTTTGCTTTCGAACAATTTAAAGGGTTTTTTGCAGCAGATTTGCCCAATGCAATACGTCATTTTATTTCTTGACTGCTGCTTTCATGGGTGTTGATTGCGGATCCAAGTAAAATGAAATCCTTGACAACTTCAATGTTTTCTCCATTTACCATGATGTTTCTTATTGGCCCACTAGAGTTTTTGTTTTCTTTATGTTGAGGTGCAACCCATACTGAAGGCTATAGTCTTTGGTCTTCATCAGTAAGTACTTCAAGTCCTCTTGGCTTTCACCAAGCAAGGTTGAATCATTGTGGTGCGGTAGATTGCTTTTGTGTGGCCTTTCTTGCCATGGTCTTCTAGCTCTTACCCAAGTGATTGGGCAAGACTATGCAGATAGGGTAATTGTGGCCCACTAAGGAAATTGCCCAGTTTTGCTGGGCTTGAAATGAGCCACCCCAGAGGTGGGAAAGGGAAGATTTCACCACCACCAAGGAAGAACAGCCAGGAGACAGCACGTCCTTTGGACCCGAGATCCCTGTGCTGAGAAGTTCCTGGGACCAGGAGACAGAGAGAAGAGAATTGTAACACTGAAGGCAGTGATAAGCAGCAGCAGACATCTGGCAGCAGGAGACGGCATGGTGGGCTTCCCCACCCATGGAGAGAGAAAGCTGAATGCCTTTGGGCAGAGATCAAGGGCCAGGGAGAAGTGTGTCTTCAAGTATGGCTGGGAAGGGGCTGTCCTGATGGAAGAACTGGATCCTGAGTGTTCCTGTGACTGAATTGTAACTGTTACTTCCCTAATAAACCCCATAATCGTGAGTATTGTCTGTGAGTTCTGTGTGGACATTGCAATGAAATATCGAACCCAGCGGAGAAGTAGAGAGCCTGTGGGAGGGATGGTTGGTTTCAAAATTGGTAAAGATGATGAAGACAGGAGGCATGTGACCTTCACCTCATAGAAATAAGCCTTCCTATGACCTCCACCTCATAGGAATCAGCCTTGGGCTTTTGTTCTTGATTCTCCTTCCCTGCTGTGAAGTTAGAGGAGATCAGATGCATTCCCCACACCGTTTTTACAGTTGGTGTCAGAAGCGGGATTCTTTGCAATGGCTCCAGACTCATGGAAGCACGGAACTTTGTAAGAGAAAGAATGAAGGGGCTTGGGAAATGAAACTGTTGATTCTTAGTTGGTTACTTTGGTGGTTGAGGGGAGAAAAGCTGCACCTGCAATGGCCTAGGGCAAGGGCCAGGCTAGATGAGTAGGATGACTGATAGGGGGTCAGGGTCTACTGGTTCTGCCCAGCCAGAGGCCCAAGGACATATGCATATGAACTGGATGATAATCGAGATGTGGAGAGGATAAAACTGGAATGTTTTAAAAAGGGTTATGTGTTTAATGTATTATGGATATTGAATGTTTCTCCTACCTAGTATTGTAAAACAGACCTAAATGTGTGATAGAAATGAACATTGGATATTATAGATTATAGAGAGCATGCAACTCCCCCTTCAGCCAATACTTGATTGGATATGCTAAAAGGGGGATGAGGATTTGCCTGAGGGAAATACAGGCTATTGATTTGAATGCAGTAGCCCTGTGTATAGAGTGGGGGCTTAGGTAAAAAACCTGAGTCCCACCCAGATTTGCATTTGAAAAGACATGCAGAACCATTCAGAGCTGCTGAGAGAACAGGAGATTTGCATTTGAAGGAAGTACCTGCAGAAAAAAAAAGTGACTATTTTGCTTTTTGAACTTCGAGCAAGTGGTTTGCTGTTGGATGCATTGAGGCAGGAAAAGTCAGTTCCCATCAGAAGGAACCCTCTTTCAGGACCGTAAGTTAAAGGGAGCCAGTGAGTAGACAGCTTGATCTGCTTGCTTGTGGTGACCACCTGGGACCACTCATGAGTGGAAGTGGGAGAAGTGCAGCAGTGAAGAGATGGGCTGAGTTTGGACATGTTCCATTGGCACATGCTCATCTAGCCCATGGGACTAGGGATGACAGAGTGAGAAGAAGGACTGGCTGGTCAGAGTAAAAAGAGTTGGGTAGACACCTGTGTTTACGGGTAGAACCCATTCACCTAGCCCAAGGGGGCTAGGGTTGACAGTCTGAAGGGGCTATCTGAAGTGCCGGGGTGTACATGCGAACTCTCGAGCCTAAGGCTGCTACCCATTGTGACCTAGCTTAGATGGCTAGGAATGAGCTGACCAGAACCCAGCTGAATGAAGAGAAAGATGTCTGACACCATGAGCTGGTGTAGATTGCTACAGTTTGATGGCTTGTTCTGGACTGAACTTTGCTTGTGAATGCAGATGTTTAAAGGTCTGAACAGAAGATTCTTCAAGACCAAGGAACATGCTTGTCTCCTCAGAGTACTGGTTTGATAGGGATGGGCAATTTAAACATTGGCTATCTAAAATGAGGGGAGATATAGGCATGATGTAGCTGGCTTATGCTCTTTCATGAGTGTGCTTACACTCAAAATGAAGGGGACAAGGGAGGATTCCTACTGAAATAGATTCTTCTTTTCCTGATGAGTCTGGGGAAGAGAGGGTGGAAGGAGAGGTTGATAGGATTATATGATTCAGTTGTGAATGTTGACTGTTAACAGAGTTAATTGTGATTGTAAAAACTAATTGTAGAAGCTGTAACAGTGAAAGTGTGGACTAAGGGGGAGGCACTGCTGTACTCCAGTACAGGGGTCGAACATAAAGTCCCTTAAAGGTTTTGCTATGCTAATACCTTGAGTGAGGCTCAGAGCAAGGGAATAATCCTCTCTCAGTTAAATTTTATCAGACACTAGGAAGGTGAAGCCGAGATGACTTTTGGAGAACCTGACCAGATCAGATGTACACCTGCAGCAGACCTGAATGGCTGGTACCTGAGTAATCTCACCCTGAAGACTCTTTGCCCTACTGCAGGACTAACAGTTAATTACTGTTTTGGACTGGTAAAATGATTGGGACAGGGAAGTTATCCTCCAAGTATGAAAAAAATCATGACTAGAAAACCCAGTGGAGGGCCTGTGGTGCGATGAATAGCTTTTGTGTGGCCTTTCTCCCCATGGTCTTCTAACTCCCACCCAAGTGATTGGGTGAGACTGTGCAGATAGGGCAGTTGTGGCCCACCAAGGGGATTGGTCAGTTTTGCCATATGCTGTGCTTGAAATGAGCCACCCCAGAGGCGGGAAAGAGACGATCCCACCACCACCAAGGAAGA